AGCCCCGCGCCGGCTGCGCATCCCGGCTGCTATAGCAACGCGCCGCGCCGGCACCGCCTGCACCCGGCGCTGCGGCAAGAGGAGCCCTGCGCCCGGCCGCCCTGCATGGGCACCCGCTGCCCCGGCCGCAGCGCCCGCGGTGCCCCGCAGCCCGGCGGGGGTGCACGGCAGGACGCGTTACTGGCCGTGTCCCCGTGCCCGGCGGCTCCCGGTGTGTCTGGGCCGAGCCAGCCCCCAGGCTGGGGGTGCAGGGCCTTGGCACTGCCCTTGCCCCCTGCTAGCCCCCACCTGCGGGCACTTAGCTCTAATCCCCGCAGGCACTAGATTAGGGCTGTCCCTGGGCACAATCCTGATTGAAGGTGGCACCGCGGCCCGGCCGGGCAGCCCAAGATAGCCAATGTCCCCCCATCCCTCCAGTGCCAATCCCAGAAATATCCCCAAACCGCCCCCCCCCCACCGTGGGGCTGCCCAGCAAGGGGGTCTCACGCCGCCCCTCGTCACCTGAGCGCCTGGGGCCGGGCGTGCGTGTGGCGGGCACGGCCACCTCGGTGCCGTTCTGGGGGACCAAGGCGCCCCGGACGCGCTGCGGGGACCCCAGCTCCTCCTCGGGCGCTGTCCCTGCGGGTCAGGATGGAGCTGGGTGGTGGCACCAGCGGGGACCAGTTAGGGGGCTGGGGGGGGCCATTCCTACCTGCACGTGGGGTCCTGGGGGCGGCCGGGCCGGAGGCTGTCGGTGCTGCGGGGCGGGTGGCCGGGGCAGGTGCTGGGGTGCCCGGGGCGGTGGTGCTGTGTGGGGCGGTGGTTGTGTGGGGGGCAGCCGCAGTGTGTGGGGCAGCCACGGTGTGCGGGGTGGCCGTGGTGCGCGGGGTGGCCATGGTGCGCGGGGCCACGTGCCCGGTGGTGCCGTTGGCCAGCGGGGCTCTCCGCGTGCTCCGCTGATGGAGCTGACCTGGGAGCTCCATGGTCCAGGTGTCGGCCCTGCCCTCCAGGGCCGCCTGCCCCGCTCTCCCTGGCCCCCAGACTGGGGAGCTGGGATCAGAGCTGGGCACCGCGGAGGGGGGCACGGGGATGGAGCGCGGGGGGCTGGCAGGGGCGCCCGTCGCCCCCCCCTCAGCCAGCCCTCCCGGCACGGGGCGCAGGGCGATGGTGGACATGGTGGGCTGGGCGCTGGGGGTCCCCGCGGGGGCCAGGCCCTGGGGCTCAGCCGGCCCTGGGGCGCCGTGTCCCACGTCCATGGGCACCGTGAGGGGCACCCGCATCTCCGTCCGGGGGCTGGCCTGGCCCTGGGCCTCCCGGCCCTGCCAGGTGATAAAGGGCTCCTCTATCAGCTCCAGCGTGGGGCCACTGCCCCTCCGAGCCCCTATGCCAGCGCTTGCTGATGTGGCCACTGCCCCCGGCGCCTGCAGGGAGTCGTCAGCCCCTGGGGACACCGATGTCGTGGGCGTCCTGGTCACAGCCCCCAGCGGTCGGGACCCCCACGTGGGGCTGGCGGCTCCCCAGCGCTCGCCGTCCGGGTCCCCGGCACCACTGAACTGCCCCGACGTGTCCCCCGGGTGGGCCGAGCCCGGCTGGCGGTGTGCCCAGGAGGATCCGGGGTCCCCCAAGGCCGGCAGGGTCTCCTGCAGCGGGGGGCGGCCGGCGGGGGCAGCGGGAACGCGGGCGGCCAGGAGCAGCGCGCAGGCGACGAGCGGCACCGTGGCCATGGCGAGCACGC